CTTTAATTTTTAAATATTCTTCGAGAGTTTTTAACTTCTTTTTGCGTTGCCCTTCTAATTGTCGAATTTTTCATGGTTATCCCCAGCTGAAGTATGGCAGCTTTGACTGCTATAAGACTATGAGATTTGCCTCACTGCTGATATCTTCCCTTAGAGTGTTTCACCTCGATTATCCTGCATCTCGTATGCTTTGCGTAGGGAGGAGACACTGAAGACGTCGGTATTCATCAGTGTTTGACATCACCTGGAGAACTATTGAAAACATGGGTGTACTGAACAACTGTTCAGTTGTAGTTTGAGTCCCCCCAGCAATGCGTGAACGGTGGTCGAACCCGGGACCTTTAGGTGCCGTAGAGACCACTTTGCCATTGAGCCACTGGGTCGAAATCTAATGGTACACTCTTTTCTGTTTCCTGATATCTGTATGGATTATGTAGAGTGATAATAAATCTTTGAATTTGATATTAAATGATGATTAGTGCAGTTTGCTCTTACTAAACTGAACATAGTATTATGTAGCAATGGAATCTAAGGTGTAATTTTAGTTCTGTTTACAGACAGTCAGCTGTACATAACTGTGTCCATGTATTATTTTGTATTATGTTAAAGATGACATAACCACACTATTTTTCCTTCAATGAGAGAGAAGGATTCGAATTCTTCCTGAAACAGCTGGATATCGGCAAGATATGAATGACGTCATTTCACACATGAATGGTGCGAGGGAAAGAAACAACCGTATATTGGAAGAATGATTGTCTTTGAAGAGAGGTGACTGAGAGACAGAAGTGCCAATCATTTTTCCAGTACATCGTTTTTTCGTAGAAGAACCAAATATGGTAGCAAAACACTCTTACTAATGCACAATAAAACCTGGCCACAGAGACCAAAATATATTGAGATAAGTTTGAAAATTCCGTGAAAACAAGCTATCAGGGATGTGAAGCATAAGCAAAACGCTAACGCTTTGAAATGAAACCGGCAAGAAGGCAAGACATAAAAAACCGTTCAGCGTAGAATATCAAGTCAATTGTAGAGAACGAAAGTAGACCAGAGATGTTGGGACTGGATGATGAAAGCCGGTGTGAAAGAGTGAGGGACTGTGTCTATTAACCGAAAAACACTATGCATCTTATCCAATCAAGGAGAACAGCAAACAAAAACGTGAAAAACACCAGTCAAATTTAGATATGAGTTCAGTAGTATTGAGAAGCAGACTAGAAGCTGCAACTAGATAAGGAGACTTCAAGGTGATCTGCATGACTGCCAAAAAATCTATTCGATTAGTGTTGTTCATATTACTAACAAGACTGCACTTAATTAGAATATAGTGAGACGTTTTCCGAGGAAGTTATCGAAGCAAACTATCGCTTGGCGGAGAAACAGAACTTACTGTAAGTAGCCAGGTAAGGACGTCGTTAAAAGAAGAATATTACTGATCTTTAAAAAAAAGAATTTCTTGACAAGTTCACCATATTTCACTAATACTAATGACATTCCCTTAAAAGAAGCTTTCTAGTGTCGTTCTTGTCATTATGACTCTATACAAGGCTTGGACTCAACACTCAGTAATTTCAATTCTAATATGATGTACCAGTTAGCGATAGCGAACTTTTTCCCATTGGTCTTAGTTATAAATAGTTCAAAATTCGAAAAGTCTAGTTCATTCTGTTCTATACACTACACAGACTTATAATTTGATTGGTCACTGGAGAGCAACCAATTTCATAATGTGTAGTCTTGAGCGTTGACTAAATTCTAACGATCATTGCACAGTGTAACACCAAGTTAGAAGACTGACCATCGCTATGCACCCTGATGAACTGGAGATAACCGACTTAGAGTTCGAATCTCTCAGAAGGAACATCAGTTTCTTCAAGGTTGTAAATACTGCTTCCTAAGAGCGCCAAAAAACACGAAACTTAGGTGAAGCAGGGTTTCCTGTTGATTGCTTCTAACCAGCTAACATTACATAGACTTCTTTTCAAACCATAACATGGATGTTCTAATGGAGGATATTTGAAGCTCAGAATGGTGATGCTTGTAATTGCTTGGTGTTGTTCAGACTTCGAATTTTATTCCTGGACTTTAGATCACCTCGCTAGACGACTTCATCATCGCCTAGCCTGGTGATGAAACGTTAACGATGAAACTGCAGAGCTCGAAGAACACCTGACAATTAATACGAACACTATTGTTTCAGAAATTTGCATGAACTCTGGTAAATATCTTTGTCCCATATATGTACCTGAAACGTAAACACCACAGGATACCTCATACAACAATATCACCAGGGTTAATAAGAAATCATACAATGCTATGCACCTACAAACAATGCAGAGCAAGAGAAAAAGGGGGAATTCTACAGACAACTTCAATCAACACTGCACAAGACCACATCTCAGTTGGCGATATCAAAATCCCAATGGGTGGGGCGACATGAATGCCAAACTGGGAGGGGACAACACGGGAAGAGAACTAACCATGGATCGAGAAGCGCTAGGTGAAATGAACCAGAATGGAGAACTGTTTGCAGAACTCTGTGCATTCAACGATTTGGTGATTGGAGTCAGGCAGTGTGTTCAAGCACAAGGATATCCACGAAGCGACATGGATTCGATTTCACCAGATGGACACACTAAAAATCAAATCGACTTTATCTCAATCTCAAGAAAGTGGAGACGCAGTCTACTTGACACAAGGTGAAGATGTAGGTGTAGATGTAGGTTCATACCACTCACTATCTAGTGCAAGGAACCTTCGAAATCAAGTTAAAAGCCTTCAAGGAAGCTGGTGATAGACCACAGTTCAAGTACAACACTCGAAAACTGAAGGATGAAACTACAAAGGAGATCTTCAAGGCAGCCATCAACACAAAATGGGAGATATCGAGGGACATCCCTGAAGAAACCTGTGTGGAAGAACACTGGAAGTCTTTGAAAGCTATGTGGAAAGAAACCTGCACAGCCGTATTAGGAAGGAAGAAGAAAGAAGATAAGGAATGGATCTCAATGGACACATGGAAGCTGATAGAAGAGAGGAGGATGGTGAAGCAGAAGATGAACCAGTGCAAGAATGCTGAACGACGAGAAGAGGAACCGAGTACAATGTATAAAACACTGGACAAAGAGGTGAGGAGGAGTGCACGGATGTGATATTATGGCTGAAATATGTGTCGGTGTCATATGATAAAATTATATTTGTCCACACAAGTATACTAATCGTATTTTATGTCATATACTCATCTTTATCGTGTACATAGCGTGAGTAAATGGTAAAGTATTAAGATTTTGTGCACTCCATTCTGACACATCTTGAAGCATAGTAGTTTTACAACTGCCCAACTGTGGTGGCAACAGAATTCCTGGTGGAATCGATGTTGCTTATTGTTTGGTATTTAAATTAATTTGTTCCGTTTGGTGAAGTCTTCATATCAGCATGGTTGATTTCTTTGGTTTACTCATGCTTTTGTCTTATCTCGTAAGATCAATAAGCAATCCTTTTAAGAAATGATGTGCACAATTTAGGACATCAGTTAAGTTGCATATTGAAATATGCCTAAATTCTGAGAGTACTAATCTTCCTTAAGATTAGTTGTGTAACATTGTTACTGAATCTGTCTCACTCTGATTTGTAATGAAACCACAAATAAAAGCTTACTTACAAGTCGTTGTCACTATTCAACAAACTTATATCTGAGGTTAAAATAATGATAGGTAGTGGCTAGGAGTGGAACCCAGAACGTGCGTTTCGTCCCTTTCCAGACTCCTCAGCTGGACATATTTACCTCCCAGTCAGCATTGTTATTCCCATTAGGACTCAAACCCGTCGGCGGTCACTCCAAGCTCCAGATCTTTATCCCCCAAACCACTGAGTTAAGACTGCCATTTCTTGTGTGACGGATATAGTTTTAATGTTGACCCGTGTTATAACGCCGTATATGCTAATAAAGATCAGTCAGTTCAGTCCAGTCAGCGACGGGATAATAGAAATAAAGACACTGAAACTAAACCTGTTGCACAAAAAGTAGCTATCGCAACTTGGTGGGCTAGTAGATAACGCTCTGGCATTGAAGCGGTCCGTCTCAGGTTCGAGTCCTAATAGGAACAACATTACTGACTGGGAGGTAGATATATCCAACTGACAAGTCAGGAATAAGACAAAACACACATCCAGCTGCATTCCACACCTAACCACTGTCCATCGCTAATATACCATCCAGATACAGACAATATTGAGGCATCGGTGAAGAAGCCCATATGCCAACAGGTACTGACAAATTAGGTCGACTCCACGACAAAATGATGCAAACAACAACATTTAAGGTTAAACATTAGAAGTTCGTGGCTATGGCTTTCGAAACTGTTATCAGCTTCATTTGTAATCAAAGTGGTGACTATTATTTTCGATAGTTCGTCGCCACTAGAAAAATTTAGGGACTGTTCTGAAAAGTACTGTCAAAGACATAACCTGATAGTAAGTATCAGTGGCTGAAGCACTGAACGATAGCAATACAAATCTTGAACGAAACATAGTTCTCGATAATAACTTGTCACTGACCGCTGGCGAGCATTAAATTCAGGTCTAGAATTTCTTCAAAACGTTTTCTGAAGTTCTATTAATTTTTACACAGTGCGATGCAAAACTGTTTCATATGTTTTGATGTATACTATGCCCTTCCCGATAGACAGATCTTGATTAGAACTGAGAACTACAGAGAAGTATCTGGTGTTTAGAAAATGGAGAACATTATTTGTCAAGATTTTTTTGAGTTTACCCTTTTAAGTAGCTTCAGCTGATATCCATGAACAAAAAGTTGTTATCGTTACTTGATTTTGAAGATCACAGGGAAATCATTGTTTTGTTTACTGAAATCTTATCATATTAACCAGAAAAGTATAAATTCCTTGAGCCACCTAGTTAAAGAGACATTTCGTACTACATACAGTTTGATAGTTTATTTCTATTTCTCCCTCTGTGTCCTTTTCTCTCTCCTACAGGTGTCTACCTCACAGTTACAATGACAATGACTTCACTGTCCATCATTCTGACAGTTCTAGTCTTACATCTTCATCATACTGGTTCAAATCGACATGCACTGCCTAAATACATAAGAGTATTATTTTTTGATCATATCGCCAGAATATTTTGTTTAGATGTAGTACAAAGATATCAAATGAACAGAAGAAATACTTCGAAACGTGCTAACCAATCAAGATACATTTCGCTGCAGACAATAAACAAAAATACTACTGACAATGATGAGAATAGAAAAGGTGTAGTTGAGATGAATTTAAAAAATAGTAATGAACAATTATTAAGCATAAATCCAGCATCACAGCATTCATCTTATCTAAATAAGAAGCTTCATTATAATTACCTATCATCAGAGGTAATTACTTCAGTTGTTCTGAGCGACGAAAAAACATCAACCTCAAAGTGCGCAGAAACTTTTTCAAATACAACTGCTGAACAGCATTCATCATTGGTCAATGAACAATACGAAAGGTTTGAATCGTCGAATCGGCTAAGTTTTCCCAAATTGAACACCATGAATCCATCAACTGAAGAAACGTTTAAAAGACATAAACAGGATCGTACTGTTCGAATAGATGATAATTTAAATAAAGGTAAAACTAGTACGATCATGACTTATAATTATAGTAATAATGAGTATGATAAAAAACAAGGTCATGAAGTAGTGACCACACTTGAACAAAGTGAAATCGCATCCGATCACAGGGTAGATTATGCGAGATTAAGTGATGATTTAATTAACGATTTAACACCATCGAAATTACTGAATGTCTGTCCACCCCATCATCGTCATCGTCACGACCATCAGGCTGTGTATAACACGCAGCAGATAGAAGTACTGGGTAAGTTAGTAGAGATTTTAGAGAGAGCAGAAAAACAACAAGAAATTATCCAAATTTATTTACATAATTTACACGAGAAACAATTCGAAGAATATTATATCTCAGATATTATCAATGAATGGCGTATACTGGCACTGATAGTAGATCGTATGTTATTTTGGTTGTTTCTAGTGGTAGCTGTGATTGCCACAACTGTCATTCTACTGATTATGCCTTTGTTTAAACCAAATTTTGCATAAGAGACTGCACAAAATATGGTCTCCTTTACTTTTCTAAAAAAATAAGTGTCTAGCAACCTGTGTTCTTAATTTTTTTCTACGCCTCAACAACTTGTTCCCTGTTCCAATCACACAATCACTCCGCGCCCTTCTGTATCTTTTCATTTCTTCTTATTTAGTGACTTTATTTACTACACACACTGCCTTGCTCAAATAAACAAGAAATAATTGCTGATGAAGTCAACTGCATCTGGAATATTTTAACAGGCGTGCCGTTAGTTGTATTGTCTAGTGACAAGCACTTTGATCTTTATGAAGGTTTTGAATAAGCCTTACTGCTGAATACTTTTAACTTGCCAATATCAGAAACTTCTTAATGCTGACTATTTGCACCATCCAACAAAAGTGTTAACCATCACCAAGACAGATATCCTTCAACTGGTATGCAATTGTATTGGATGGCATTTCTGTTTCAGAAAACCGAAACTTTTAGGCTTACCCTGATTAAATGTGCGTGACAGTATAAGTCTATGTATTTTGTTTCAGATTTATTTTTAAAATGAGAATAGTACAAAAAGCAACTTAAAATGAGGGTTTTTGTTCTGTTAATCATTAAAATTTAAATGCTAAGCGGTATATTGTTCTGAGATTGGTTAGTAGTCAGAGTGGGTTCCGAATAAATGTTGCGTAATTATTAAGTTTGTAGGTTTGTGAGTATTTATTCATCGATTTCACATTGGTATCCAACATGTAACTGAAGAGCCTGCTTTCGATCCCTGGTGATTTCATGAGTGTGCACTGGTGAGAAAGCCCATACTATATATATAATAATTATCCATTCGTCGAAGAAGTATGAACTTCCACAGGTTTGCCAATTCGTCTTGCTGATCAGCACCGATAAGTACGAAACTGATGTGAAACAGGCCTTCATGTGGACTGACGTCTAATGCGCAGAACATGAGTGAAGTGGACTGTTGTTCTGTCACATATTTTATTGTTAACTCTTAGGAATTAACAACTACGCTGATTGTTATCTGTTGAGACCAACCTGTGAGGTTCACATAAGAAGTTTATCCTCATTTATTTCCTTTCTTATTTTAGTAGAATATATAGGTGTTTACCAAATTCCATGTTTTGTTAATAGTCAGTTTGAAGAAGAATAGATGATGGTTTAGATACTAACGTCTGCAAAACACTAATATATTCTAACAGGTATCTGTACTTCAGGTCATCTGATCAAGTAACACTGAAAGAGGGTTTAGTCAAATCTTTGAGTAATGAAGCCAGGAAACTCACTAGTTATTGCAAGGAATTAAATAAGAAAGTGAAGCATATAAAAAAACATTGGTAATTAGTAATTATTCTTTTAGTTTGTTAAGAAATTCCTTAGAACACATAAGAAATGTAATAGTGACAGCAATATGAATATGAATAATGACGACGATACAAGTGGAAACCAGTTCACGTCTTCTATAGTCTTAACATATAAGGAGGAAACATCAGAAAAACTAAATAGGATTCTCACCGATTGGAATTCAGGTGGCATTTAAACCTACAAACTCACTCAGAGATAAACTTTGTCGACTTAAGCATCCTGTTGGCCGAGTTAAACAGATTAGTTCGATCTACGAAATGCTGCACAATGACTTTGAGGTCAGATTAGCCGATCCGAATCAGTTAGATTATTGGGACATAGAAATTTAACAAACTGTAGAACGATACACACCAAAATGGGCAATAACCTAGAAGAAAGTCTCGACTGTTTTTATGCGTGCAGTGACACAGGCATAAAGTTTGTTGGGATAAGTTATCCAGTTACTATAATACTTCTAGATGGGAAGAGATATTGTTTACTGAATCTTTGTTCATCCAATCAACACCCTACACATGTAACAAGAATGATGCAACACATTTACCTTCACTGCAACTGAAAACAAAGAAAGTGAGGTGGTTTAACCATAAAAGTAAGTTGTTTAAAGCTGTAGGATTACTTTGATATGATGATTAAGCAATACTTCATGCTTAAAACACCATTAGGTAAATAATGCTGTATTCTTGTGTGCTATATCAAATAAGCAAATCTAGTATGGAACTAAATCCTACTGCAGTGCCCAGGTTTACATTAGTTCAATTTCTTGGTTCGTGTGGCCTAGGTGACAAGATATATATGTTTTACGAGCGACTAGTAAGTTTAACGCCCCATGGAAAAGGATTGTGCGCAGAATATGCAAAGAAATATGTAGTTCATATACGTATGCATATTGTCAGCTCGTAGCAAAGTTGATGACTTCAATACTATTGAAAACTTTATTTACAAACAGTTCTAACTCTTAGAATGCTTCTAGCTGAAAATATATGTACTCTCACCATTTATACGATGGACAAAAAGATGTGTGGTGTTTTTTTTTAGAGATAAGCTGTACAGATGCCCGAGAAAAAGTAATAAGCTATATGATTTTGTTTTGAACACATAGACTTGGCTCGCTTAGGTGGATACTAACGGTTTCTGCTGTGTGCAAAATCCGAACTCGTAAAGTATGACTGAGATTATAAGTAATGTGATAAATAATCTTCAAGGCGTCATGAATACTAACTCAATGACCAATGTCAGCCAGATGAGAGAGTATTGAGTTCTGTATTGGTCTTGTCTGCTCTTTACTTAACCATAACAGAGGTTGTAAGGCGGTTCGGCGACCGACTTGCCTAGCTGTACTCTCAACGTCATTAGCTACACAGGAACAGTTGAAGTAGTAAATGCACATAGAAGGCGGAAAGTCAAGTAGTTTGTCTTCGATTCGTTTTCGACTTAAATTAAGCTAGAATAGTAAATTTGGAAAAATTCAGTGAACCCATTGTTGCCAATTAGTTTTCACTCACTGAAATGAAAGTAAAAGTCCACTTGGACATATCTTAAAGAATCGATGCCTCAAGGGAAGGAAAAGGCATTACAACTCGGTTGGATAAGAGAAATGAGGCAGCAACCACTTGTGAAACAATAAGCAGACATTAAAATTTGAATTAATTCAAGTTCACAAAGTGAAGCAAAGAGTACTGGATTTGAGGCTCAGTAGAACCAGCATCAGTCACTCGGGTGCAGGTACATCCAGTCGACGGGCCCCAAATAGGAAGAAATAGGCGTTTTGGATTCCTCTGCTTGTCACCAAGATCAATATGACATCAAGTTCACAAAGCCCACCTTAAATTAAAAGTTAAACTTTAAACTATACACGAATACAGGCAGTTATTAGCGACTAACTAAATGCCTTGGCAGGTACAATTCTAGACTAGCAACCATGCTTCCAATCCAAATTTACTCAACAACCACAGACACGTTTGTTCAATAAACAAGTCACACCTATTTTATGAGGATTATTGATACCACCTGGCTGCTTAGATTTCAGTAAGCTGAGCTGAACTCAGACCCGTCACACAATTGTAGAAAGTAAAACGCGTTGCTCAACGAACCACAGCTCCTTTGCCTGAGACAACCATTCCCGGATAACAGATATCTAGTGATCCCCAGTTCACACTTTAAATGTTAAATATGAACGAAAAATTTTCTTTCTCAGTAACTTGTCGTCAGGTTCTACAGTTATAAAATCAAAGTCGTCAATATGGTTATTGCCTGATTTGTGGCGAATGCATTTTAAAGTGCATATAAGATCATAATTACAATCAGATTAATGTTGTTACTTGTATTTTCCCGTTGTTGACTGAATAGAATTTGATCGATCCCTACTGGCATATGGGCTCCTACGCGGATGCTTGGATATTGCGTATGTTTCAAATAGGACGAAATGCGCGTCCTAAATTCCACTGCTAGCCCCTCTCCATCACCAATATATAATTGGACTGTGTAACTTGATAGTATGACTCATAGGCGTAGGTGTATCAATTGAGATGATAGGTTGAGCGCGTAAACTATAAGTGTGAACTGATTCATCATATAAGGTGTTTTTTTTACTTGTGTAATCCCGGCGTACTGCCTGCTATAGAACAAATAACAAAATAAACGAATATTTTGTCAATCGACTGGTGATCGGGCATAATGAATGTATCCAGCATGGGGGAAGGAAATTAATAATAAGATTCAAAGTTGTATTGTAACGAGTTAAGGTTAGGGTGTTAAGTAGTAATAATAATAAATGCTTTATTTCAAACAAGATGTTTGACACATTATGGAATTCTCAGCATGTAATAAATCAAGAAATTTACTACCAAGACGACGTTTTCAAACAAAATGATCATGGCGTCTCAATGATATTCATAATAACAGCATCAAAGGTAAGAATGTGGAGTAGGCGGTTTGTGCTGGAATAACACCCAGTGTTTAGTGATAGTGGTTCATTGGGCCAGTAGAAGAATGCACTATATGAGATAGGTATCCAAAGGATAGAAATATCATGTATTCTTGTGTATACAAAATTTCATCTCCGTCTAATATGACATTTTTCCTTCGTTTTGATATTACTTCAAAAAACGACTAGCAATGGATAGAGGGCATACAGTGTATGTGAGGTAGTGGCGCATTTCCAGGTCACGTAGCTAGCATGCTACTGGTGGAGAAAGTTCTGCTCTCCTTTTAGAGGTCGTTTCGAAAAAAGCAATAATAGCATAAGCTCGTTTGTATTTTATTCCGCTAGATTTGAGGAACAGTCTGACTACAGTTTCTTTGCGTTTTACGGTGTCTGAAGAATTTGAAAGCTGGAAAGGTTGAAAAGTGACGTTAATAGATCTGAATAACGTAAGTAATAGTTACCGTAGTGATCGCAAACCACAAACACCAAATACTTGTCTGATTTTAAGAGGCATGCACCCTTTTTGTTGCTGCAGTTAGTCGCAGAGATCAAATAAACCCAATCCTAAATAATAATCGCCCACACACCTGTGCATATCTGGTCAAAAGTGGAGTAGCCTATCAAGTTTTATCTCGAAACAGATGGAGGTAACGCATTTCAGTGTGTGTCAGTAAACTGAGCAGTACACACAGAATTCGGATCAAACGAAATCAGCTGATTATGTCGTTTATCCAATCTCAAAACAATTAGTTCAGAACATTTTAAAAATCCTCAAGATTTGGTGAAATGTTTGGAGGAAAATTCAATATATGTCAAGTGGAAAATTTCATTGGTATCCCAAAGTTCAAGCAGGTTATCAAAAAGAAACTAACCAGAATTAACCAGAGGGGAAAAAAGGGATTGCATATGTCACCATAAAGTGGTCAAAGTGTGATACGATTAAGATAATAAGTGTAGTAACAAAATGAAAATACCCAACCAGCAATTTTGGAGGTTTGTTGGAATTAGAGAGGGAAAGTAGAAGAACCTTTGGTTAAAGAGTTCCCCAAATAGAAGACAGGAGGGACAACGGAAATAAAATCAAGAAAGAAACAAATGGTTTGAAGGAAAATTGTTTAGTCAGTAGAAGGTTAAGTAAGGAGTAAGGCTTAAATATGTTCTTTCTGAATACATACTTCAGGGTTAATCGGTCTTATGGCTGCAGCTTCCGCCATATGCAGAATGCACAAAGGAATGTAGTTTTCAGACAACCGAATTAAAGTAAGTGACATAAAATTACTAAATTGTACT